GGCTAGCCTCCAGACTGCGCAAATGCAAAGGAGGGGCAAACAGCCGAGGGGCGGGCCCGAGGCCGGCGCGCTGAGCTTCGCTCTTGCGCGCCCAATCACAAATGACGTTCCGCCTGTTCCCAGTCAACGGGAGGACCCAATCAACGTCGAGAGCGTAGGCCCCACCTATCGAGGTCCGTGCTGCGGCTGTAGTGCGTCCGGACCTGCTGGTTGGCTCCGGTCTAGAGGCGCGGGGGTCCGCAGGCCCTGAGGCCAGGGTCCAACCTGGCTTTCCGGGATGTCGGTGGCCTTCGTACCGGACTGGCTGAAAGGCAAGGCGGAAGTCAATCAGGAGACGATCCAGCGGGTGAGCGCTAACTCGGGCCGAGAGACGTTCCTTAGTTGAGATCCCAAGGGCTGCGGGTGCGGGAAGCTTCCTGGAATGAGCGGCATCCCAGCTGAGGCTTGTGGTGTGCATGGGGGCATGACTTGCAAGGGTATGGAGTGAGATGGGAACAAAGTTGTCAAAGGCACCGGGGCAGGACAGCCCGGCATTGGAGAGAGTTGGTGGTCAGTGTTCCCGGCCGTCCGGATAACGCGCTGCACTGACCCTTTCTCTGGTCTTTCAGCTCTTGGAGGAGAATGACCAGCTCATCCGCTGTATCGTGGAGTATCAGAACAAAGGCCGGGCGAATGAGTGCGTCCAGTAAGTACCCGCTCCACCCCCCGACTTCTGAGTGTAGGGTGAAACCAGTGTGGTGATACAGCAGCTGTCCTGAACTAGGAGTCTTGGATAATTGATCGCCGATGATTCTCAGAGGTTGCTTACCTGCCCAGGACTACCAGACAGCACATTGTGAAGCCTGGAGTCAGACGTGGCACCCTCTTCAAAATTTGAATAATGCTCATTGCAGACCTCCTTCACGTAGACAGGTCAGCTGATGACAACAGGGATGGGGAAGGGAGCACATGAAAAACTAGTCTCAGGAGGTGTGAGCTCTGGCCCCTTTCTCCTCATGGATCCCCAGCTTATCCTTTTTCTGAGGGGCGTTAGACCATTTGACTGCTAAGTTCCTTTTTTTTTTTAAGTAGGCTCCACGCCCAGCATGGAGCCCAACGTCGGTCTTGAATTCACCACCTTAAGATCAAGACCTGAGCTGAGCGCTCCGCCCCCTTCATTTTCTAACTTGCAGTCAGTCTGTAATGCACGCAGGGAGGGACCAATAAGACTTACAAGTTAGGCCAAAGGCAACTTCTGCACAGTAATTGAATGTGCTCTCTAGCTATATGCCAAAATTAAAGAAAATAGTCTCTTTTTTTTTTTCAAGAGAATATTAAATTGTTTATTGATTACACATAATGGATGATACACAAGCTTTAATCCCATCTATAATTTTATATGATACCATAATTCAATTTAGATATATTGCATAGGATGTGCCAACAATCATATTAATAATCGAATAAACTCCAGGACTTTGCTTGGGTGACCCTTTTAATGGTGAACTCCAGGTCACAACACATTAACTGTCAGTTCAACTACACCAAGGTTTGTGGAGACAATGGCTTCTGTGCCCAAGCAGGTTGCAAATCAATTTCGAATGGAACCTGGCATCACCCTGAAGGAATTCTAACTTCACACTGTTGGGGTAGTATACCAAGATGGCTTCAGATTAGACTAACTTTACACAGCACATTTAAAAAAAGACACATTTATTTGGTGTCATGATCAGACTATTACATTTAGCAATCAACAGCATGGGTGCAAAAAAAAATCTACATTAAAACCCTTTGTTGGAATGCTTTACACTTTCCATAGAACAGAAACTAAAATAACCTGTTATACAATTAGTCACAAATACAGTTCTCGAGTTTTTTGCCCATACACATGAGTATTGTCTAAAACATGTCTTCTTTGTAGCAGCTAGGCCCTGCCCCCACTGTGCTTGGCTGAGTTCACAAATCTGTTGTAACCTGTAGCTTCCCTGTCACTTCTCTGGCTCTCCTCTCCTGCTAAGCTTTGTTTCCTGGCAGTAATTAAAACCTTCTGCCACTGCCCTAGCTACTGCTGCTGCTGGAACAACCACAGCCACCTTGGTTTCGTGGTTTGGCAAAGTATTGGCCTCCACCACCACAGGGGCCAGAGCTTCTGCCTCCAAAATTTCCTCCTTTCATGGGTCCAAAATTTGAGGATTGATTGTTGTAATTGCCAAAATCATTATAGCTTCCGCCACCCCCAAAGTTGCTTCCATCATTACCAAATCCGTTATAGCCATCCCCACGGCCACCATATCCACCACCACCTCGACTGCCACCAAAGCCACCTCGACCACTGAAGTTCCCTCCACGACCAAAGTTGTCATTCCCACCAAAACCACCTCCACGACCACCACCAAAGTTTCCAGAACCACTTCGACCTCTTTGGCTGGATGAAGCACTAGCCATCTCTTGCTTAGATAGGGCTTTCCTTACTTCACAGTTGTGGCCATTCACAGTATGGTATTTTTGAATGACCATCTTGTCTACAGAGTCATGGTCATCAAATGTTACAAAAGCAAAACCTCTTTTTGCCACTGCCTCAGTCAGTCATCTCGATCACTTCAATTTTCCCATACTGTTCAAAATAATCTCTTAGATGATGTTCTTCAGTGTCTTCTTTAATGCCACCGACAAAAATCTTTTTCACAGTTAAGTGGGCACCAGGTCTTTTGAGAATCTTCTCTTGAGACAGCCCTCTTTGGTTCCACAACTCTTCCATCCACCTTGTGTGGCCTTGCATTCATGGCTGCGTCCACCTCCTCCACAGTGGCATACGTGACAAACCCAAAGCCTCTGGAGCGCTTGGTGTTTGGATCTCTCATTACCACACAGTCCGTAAGTGTTCCCCATTGCTCATAATGGCTCCTCAGACTCTCATCGGTTGTTTCAAAGCTCAAACCTCTGATGAAGAGCTTCTGCAGCTGTTCAGGCTCTTTGGGAGACTCTGACTTAGACATGACGGCGGTGGGAGGGGAGACTTTAACGATGCTTACTCGGCAGTGTCCACAGGCAGAAAGGAGTGATCTAATGAACGTATCTTGAAAATGGTCTCTTTTCTAAATGTAGTCCAGGAATTATCCTCCATTTATTATAGAAAAATACATTATTTCATTCTTACTGAAGACATCTTTAAGAAAACCATCCTTTTCCCATCTCCCAGAAAAAATCACCTATAGTTCCTCACTGAACAGGTCAATGAAATAGTAGAGATATCCATTTTTGGGTAAGTCTTTACATTTGGTTCTGGCATCTGGTAATTTGCTTTTTTGCAGTTCATAGTAAACTTTCATTTTTCTATATGGAAAACAGTTGCAAAACATTCCTTTTGGTGTAGTGATTCTCAACCTATGGGTAAGAAAGTTACCAAAATTTTCGGTGGGCTTCCTGCCCACCCCCCCAGTCTGATTTGTCTTCCTAGGTAGAGAATTTTACCCCCTGATTGAGAATCACTACTCTTGTAAGCTCATATTGATACCATAGAAGTGCCTTGTTCCTTCTTTAACTTTGTTCCACAAATATTTTATAACTACTACTGAGTACCAGACACTGTTTCAGCTACTGGGGAATCAGTACCAAAACCAGCTCTGCTTTTTATCAAATCAGGTACCAGCTCCGCTTTTATGGACTTTACATCCTAGAGTCTAGAATCTAGAGGGAGGAAATCATACAATTAGGCACATACTAATAAGTGCTTTGAGTAAGAATAAAGCAGGTTAATTGGCAGGAAGGGGTGCTGTTTTACACAGGGTATCTCTGGTGGGACATCTACTCAGATGTCCTCACCAGAGGTGAGGGAGCCAGCTACATAAATATATAAGGCAGAGACAGCATCAGGTGGAAGAACCTCCTAGGCTAGAGCACACTGGTTATCTTCAAGTCACAGCAAAGGGGACACTGCAGCCAGAACTCAGAGAGTGAAGGGAAAGTGGTAGGAGCTGAGGTCAGAGAGATAACTAGAGGCCCCAATCATGTAGAGCCTTGTAGGCCGCCAGAAGGGCTAGAAGGGTTCAGCTTTACTCAGAATGAGAGGGGAGCCCTTGGAGGGTTTTAATCAGAGGTATGGCAAGTCTTGACTTAAACTGTACAATAATCACTTGGGTTGCTATGTGGGGAATAGAGTAGGAGTGCAAAGGTAAAGCAGGGAGACCAGTTAGGAGACTGGCCCAATACAACAGTGTACGCAAGGATAGTGGCTTGACCCAGAGAGGTAGCTATGAAAGTGATAAGTGAGAACAGAGAGATTCTAGATGTATTTTCATTGGTGTTAATCAAGGAGGTTGATGAGGTTGAATCATCCAATCAATAGATGAGCCATTCCAGTAGAGTGGGTAAATTCCTTCCCAGTCTTTTGTTCATGTTCAGCAAAACAAAGCCTCTAATTTTTGCCTCTTTTTCACCCATAGGTACCAGCATGTGTTACACAGAAATCTCATTTATTTGGCTACCATCGCAGATGCCAACCCAACCAGTGCTTCAAAAGCAATGGAATAATCTTTCAGTTTGTCATGAGGAGTAATTGAGTGTAATCCATGTCCTATGAAGTAAAGACAGGATCTTTACCAACTCAACTGCTTAAAACATGGATGAACCCTTGTGGCTCTTTTAAAAATGTGAAAATGTGAAGAAAGCTACTAAATGAACTATATTCTCAGTGTAAATATTTATTTTAATAATTAAGCAGATTAAGTTGACTCCAGATGTTCTCTTTTCTGAAATGGGCATGTTTGGATTACAGAGATATCATGGGCATCTTCAATTCTACCTTTTCAGTTTCAACATGAAGATGAAACTGATTAGGTGGTGGGCAATCAACAGCAATTGGCGAGCCTCCTAACTGAGGCGCTGCCAAATGGACGTGTAACTGTGTGCTCCCCCCTACCAGTTGTAGTCGTGGACCTAACCATTGTTTTCAGGCTGCTTTGAAATAAAGCTTACCTTTCCACAGAACACTCATATTGAGGTATAGAGATTTTCATAAGATAAGTGTTCCATTTGGTCTTCCGGAAAAACTGTAAGGACTTAAAAATATATGTAACAACACCATTATCATTGCTAACAAAATCAGTAGTAATTCTTAATTATTACTTAATGTCATCTACTAATATCTTTTCAAATACTTTTGTAAAATACCTTCTTCCTCCTGTCTTTTTAAGGTTCTTGGCTGGGGCTCTATACCAAAAGACAGATTAACAAAAGAAAGTTTTATGTGACATGGGAGGCCTTCATAAAGAAATGAAGACCCAAAGAAACAGTTAAACCTGAGTATTTTTATATGAGATTAGATGAAAAGTGGAAAACAGACAGAAGGATATGAGCGAAGTGTAGTAAATTGGGGAAACTTAACATGGTCTTTTCATTCAAATTCTCAGTGTTGCTCCATTTTAAGAGATAAAGGTGCTCCTTTCTTCTGAGTATAGGGGGGGCACCCCTCACATGAGGGTCTTATGACCTGCTTCATGGGAGGTCAGAAAGTCCTTCCAGCATGTGCCATTTCTCAGATTCTTCAGCTTGAAATATTCAATAAGCCAACGTGCCATAGTTTGGAGTAGCATGTCCTGAGCCCCGTCAATTATCATAGAATGTCTTTTTGTTGATTTCTCTAACTCAGGATCCAAACAAGATTCATACACTGCATTGTGTTTATGTCCCTTAAGTCTCTGTGAAAATACTTAGTAGTTCCCCTTCTTCTTTGCCATTTGTTGGAAAAACTAGGTCATTTGCCCCAAAATTTCTCATATTCTGCATTCACCTAGTTATATCCCTATGGTGTCATTAAATATGTCCCACTATTGCCCACTTTTCCTATAAACTGGTAGATCTAGAGGCTCATTCAGACTCCGATTCTAATATTTTTGGCAAGTATACATCATAGCAGGTAAGAGGTATTTGCTTTTGCATCACATCAGGAATGACCTGATTTAATTTATTAATCAGGTGCCTGATAGCCTTTTGCTTAAATTATGATCTGCCTAGTTTTGATCTATTACTTCATTAGGGATTGCATACTGGTGATTTCCTATTTTATCATCCCTTCTGCCTTTATTAGCTTTGTTCAATAAAGAACTTTCCCTCTTTGAGACTTATCTGTAAAATGAGGCAAGGAGATTTTCCTAAGTGAACCCAAAATTAGAATCTCCGATGCCTGGCTCCTTTTGTAGGAATCAAGGATTGCAACCCAGAGAGACTAAATGTGTAAATAGTGAAGAGAGACCTCATTTTGAGTCCCAGCTCAATTGCAGCCTTTGAGAGCTCTTGTTTCACCTATAAAATGAGGATAATGAAAGTAATATCTGCCTCCTGAGGTTGTGAGATTGAGATACTGTGGTTGAGAACTGGGCACGAAGTAAACAATGTGTGTTAATGTGTGCTCTGATGTGTTATCTGAGGGCTCTGGCCCTTTCAGGCCCTTCTCAAATCTGGGAAGAAGCCTGTTCTTTGCTCCCTCACCCATTTTTCCATCCTTAGGGTCCTAGCCCATTAATGGATTCTTCCTCCCCCCATTGTTCATGGGGTTGATGCCCATATACTATGCCAAGTGGGCTGCTCATGGGCCTGACCTGGTCAGCAGATATGGTGGGCACTATGCAATGTTTTTAGTTTTGAATTAGTTCCTAACATTTAGAGAGGATTTCCCATTATAGCCTGGATTTCTAGCAATGCTGGGCCTGCAGGTCCACATGACAACCATCAGCTGGAGTTGGATGGCAGCTGTCTCCCTTTACTAGGCACCTTGACTTGTTTACATACGGCTTGGCCCAAGCTGGGATGAGAGCATCAGCTGATGTTTCAATTTAGGTCTCGCCTCAAACAAGCCTGAGACAAGGCCTTGGGTGCAGATAGTTTATTTGGGGGATGATCTCAGGAAGCAGGAATAAGGCCATAAGGAGAGTGAGACAGGGAAGAAGGAAAAGCCACTAAATGTGTGTGTTACCAAGGTTACTGCTATAGGCAATAAGGACTCAATCCAGGGGGTAGGGGGATGATCTCAAAAGCATACAAATGCCCCAGAAGTGTCCACCTGAGTTGGGGTTCCCTACAGGGGAGTTCGGTCCCCTGGACTAACAGGCAGCCTTTGCAGCCAACTCCGAGACGTCAGAGAAGGAAGAAAGTAAAAAGCTGCATGGCAGCCCTGAGGGGGGCTTCTGCCAGCACAAGGTGAGTCTGACCTTGTAGGAACTGTCCACTACTGGCAAGGTAGGTGAGGGTCTGTGACAGAGCATCAGAGGTTCCAATGTGTGGGCTCTGAGCAAGCCAGTAGGGCCTATAGTAGGTAAGTGTAGCAGAGGCAATAGCCTTGAAGACAAAGTTCAGTTCTCCCTCAGGGGGAAGGAGTTTGTGACCTGCTGTTTCCCTCCCTTTGTCTCTTGGAAGGTATTTCAGTCCACGTGTAGAGGACCGAAGCAGGGCAAATCACAAGTCTCTGGAAATGGCCAAGCCTATTTAAGCCACAGATGACCCTACTCTCCAGAGGACCCTTTTCTCGGGAGATAAACTGGAGAAGCTGGGGCAGGCCACTTAGCTGTCATCATATGTGCCCCAGCTTACCTCTACCTGTCTGCTTCAGAGACCTCCTGAAGCACAAGTATCTGCCATCCCTCTTAAAGGACCCAGAAATCAATATAGTTGTGAAAGGTGATTTAAAAAGGTAAAGACCAAACCTGGCCAGAATGTCTTAACCGCTCTCTCTTCTCAGAGGACCTCCTACTTCAAGATTAAGCCTCTACTCAGCCTGTCTGCCCTTTTCCAACTCTCAGGGTCAAGCTGATCTCTGAACAGCCTACAAGGGCCTGAGCCTTTCTCTGGGGTTTCCAAGCCTGCTTCCCAGGATTTGCAATTGTGGTGACTGACTTCTGTCATTACCACATTCTCCTGAGATGAGGATATGGCAGCTAAAACAAAGAGAGCAGATAATTTGAGGTCAGGTTTATTCCACAAGATGTGAAGCTATTTTTCCACTTCCTCATGAGGCTTTTTGACACCCAAGTCTGACTTTTGGGGACCCCAAGTCACAATATGGCTAGGGAGGAAAGGAAGTTCAGTGCTATCTCATATGCTCTTGAACCTCTGTAATAAACTTCCGTTACTAAAGGTGATCCTGAGTATATTTCTTAAGCTGGGTACATAGTATCTTCATTTTATTGTTACTCTACCTCACACGTAGTATGGTTTTGATTCCATTTTAATAAAAGCAATTTTTTTTT